CTCCAAAAGCCCCGTAGGCTCTCGGCAGCACGCTCAAGTGCATTAGCGTCTCATCCAAAGCTCGGCTGAGCGCTTATTGCACTCGGTAGCGCATATGCCCTGCAGTCAACATGCAGTCAGAGGCGGTCGCTACCAATGCCCATAGCCACGTTAGTGTCAAGGATGTTTGGCAACAGTCCTGCACGCCGTAAAATCGAATACCGCATGAACGAAAGAGGCTGATATGCGTTCCGTTGACACGCCAAAACGGTAACCCGAGTGCAAAGCGGTCGGCGGTTCCCCGCACGTCGTGGGTGTGTTCCGGAGCCCTTGCCCATAAGATGCACCTGTCGTCAGAAACGAGTACGGAAGTAAGAAACGCCCGCTCAGGAACTATGAACCGTGAGTGTCGCTGCTTAGGCAGACTACTAGGAATATTACGAGCGCGACAGTTTCTAGGTTTATCGCCATGGCCGAAGTCAAAGCACTGCTGTACGAGATTGTCAATCGCATAAACGACGCAACCCGTATGCTGCTTTTATGCATGCGTCAGTGCCTGCGCCCAACCGTCCCTCGGATTTCCTCACCCATACCCTTCGCCACTTTGCCTCACCCGGTGGCCCTCCGATATGCACGCCAAGCCTGAGCAGTGCACACCCGCAGGCTTCGAAAGAAATTCGGAAAGTGGGATGGGTCTACCACTAAGCAGATCCAGGCCTACCTTCTGTGTGCATTACTCATTTCAAGCGCAACACATGCCTGGTGATACATCCAGTCTAACTCCGTATCCAACGAACGACCTGAATCAGCCCTGGAAAACGGCATTTAAAGCACTGACAACTGCACCCGACACCGTAAGGGCGGCCGTTAACTACGAGTAAGCACACTTCTGGTTGAAGATCGTTGCACACCCTAAAATAATTTAGTACGCACCATGAAGGCAGATTGCGTTTGCATTCCCTATCCGTCCCCGCTGCTCCCGCGAAGCTCTTTGCGCCTTGGATTCGTTCTCCATTAACATGGGAAGTTCTAATGACTGTAAACGCGCTTTGGATATATTAAACTGGCACAGATGCGCATTTTTATTTGTTGAGGGTTTGTAGGCAGTCGAATCAGTGACTGCGCTTCGAAGCATACTCCGCCACTCTCACCATGTTCATTAC